AGCACGGATATCCCAAAACTTCGCCCCAAAAGAGCTAAGTCCTTCAAAGCCTGTGCTATAAAGCCCTGAACCCCTAAACCCCTAAACCCTAAACCCCTAAACCCTAAACCCCTAAACCCCAACCCCCTAAACCCCGAAAGCCCTGAAGCCCTAAACCCGGGAGCCCTTGTGTTTCAAAAATCCCAAACCCTGGAGCCCTAAATCCACAAGCCCTCAAAATCCCAAAGCTCTACTTCAAAAGACGATACACTTCTGGAATCCCTTCAGTCAGAGCCCTTTGTGAACCCCATACCCCTATAGAAGCCCTCTAGAAGCCCATCGCAGCCCTTTCTAGAGCCCTTATTGCGCCCTTCATAGTACAGCAAACCTAAACCCTCAAACCCTAAAGCCTAAAGCCAGAGCCCCCTAGAGCCGAACCCCTAAAAGCCCTAAACACCCTGAAAACCCTAAAACCCCCCAAACCCCTGAACCTGAAACCCCCTAAACCTAAACCCTAAACCCTAAACCCTGAAACCCCCTAAAACCTTCGCCCTCCCCCGGAACTCGGTGGAGACCCTCAGTTCCCCACCGCCAAAGGGACCAAAAGCTGCCCTGCATGCACCAAACAAGGGAGGGTTTCAGGGTTTAGGGCTTTTAGGGTTTTTAGGGCTTTTAGGGTTTTTAGGGCTTTTAGGGTTGAGGGTTTCAGGGTTTAGGGCTTTCAGGGTTTAGGTTTTTTAGGGTGTTTAGGGGTTTTTAGGGTTTTTAGGGTTACGGTTTAAGGTTTAGGGTTTTTAGGGTTTAGGGTTTTTAGGGTTTTTAGGGTTACGGTTTAGGTTTTAGGGTTTTTAGGATTTTTAGGGCTCTGAGGGTTTAGGGTTTCAGGGTTCTGCTAGGCTCTTTTTAAAAGTGTACTGGCCCCTCTGTCTGTCGAAGCGAAAGAGGGGCCATTACACTTCTGCTAGGCTTAGGGTTGAGGGTTTAGGGCTTGGGGTTTCGGGTTTAGGGTTTAGGATTTAGGGCTTGGGGTTTAGGGTTTAAGGCTTGAGGGTTTAGGGCTTGCCGCTTAGGGTTTAGGGTTGAGGTTTAGGGTTGAGTGTTTAGGATTTGGGGCTTGGGGTTTTAGGGTGTAGGATGGTGTAGAGTTCCACTAGAGCTTCTAAAACCCTCGCAGATCCCTTACATATAAACCCTAAAACCTTAAAACACCAAACCCTCAAATCCTAAACACTAGTACACCCGAAACCCTCAACCCTAAACCTTGATTCCTAAACCCTAAACCCTAAACCCTCAACCCTACACCCAGAACATTAACCTGGGCACGCTCCCCACTTAAAGAGAGGACCCTTGGAGGAACATGGGTCTTAGTAAGTAAAGTTATAAGTACATTAGTTTAGGGTTTAGGGCTTAGGGCTTTGGGTTTAAGACCCTAGTTGAGATTCTAAGTACCCTAGTTGAAGTTACAAGTACCTTATAATTGTGGTTAAAAGTAATTATGTGTATAGTTGCTCTTTTTATAAGCTTACTTACTATGCCACAGGATCCTCCCAGTAAAGCCCCAACAGGAGCGTTACAAACCCCTGTAAGCAATGGCATAAGAACCCTGCGACATCTTGGTAAACCCCAAAACCCTAAACCCTAACTCACCCTCTAATCCCCCTAAACCCCAAAACCCCTGAATCCTAAACCCTCAACCCCTAAACCCCTAAACCCCTAAACCCCTAAACCCTAAACCCCTAAACCCCTAAACTCTAAACCCTAAACTCCTAAACCCCTAATCCCCTAATCCCTAAACCCATCAACTCCAGACCCCAAGCCCTAGACCCCAAACATCAAAATCCGGATGCCAGGAATAAGAGTGGCAACCCTAACCTGCAAGGAACGCCTAAAGGAAACCCTAAACCCTAGACCCTAACAAGGAACCCCTTAAAGGAAACCCTCACTATCCCAAGCCCTAGAATCCCCTGCCCTACGTATACACTCCTTGCGGGAAGCCTTATGCAGCACTTTTACTATGGGGGCCTTAGTAATTAGAATTGGGGCTTTGGGGCCCATTATACTACAATTAGATTCAGGAACCCCCAAAATAAAATAGGTAATTATGTAGGCCCCGACACTACGTCACTACGTAGTTCTCAGAGAAAACAGGGTGCCCAAGGAAACCCCAGAAATACTTAAAATCCTAGTCCTTCCCCGGCCCCTAGAAAAAGAGCACGTGTAGAAACCTTTTTGGAGAATCCTTGTAGTAACATTGACAGCGACCTAAAACCCCCAACCCCTAACCCTGACCTTATCAAGCTTATTTTTTCCCTCAGCCCAAAAGCCCTGAACCGCCAAAAGCCCGCAAAGCCCTACCCAAAACTGCAAACAAGGCTCGCAAGCGCTCGGCGTTCGAGCTTGCCAATGTACAGATATCCCGGAAGTCCTTCGGCTAAGTTCTCGTTGATTTGCTGCTCAAAAAGCCTTTTTCGTAAGGCTTCCCTACAGGGAGTATTATATAGGGTTAGGGTTTAGGGTTTTTGGGTTTAGGGTTCTCACAAGGATTAGGATTTAGGGGCTTGGGGCATTAGGTCCTAGGGACATAGGAAGCTTCAAAAGGGGTCTCACATGGCGTTCTCGAGGATTTATGAGGGCCCTGGAGGTTGGAGGTTTTAGGCCAGGCTTGGGGTTTAAGGGTTTAGGGTTTAGGATTTAGGGGTTTTAGGGTTTAGGGTTTTAGGGTTGCAGGGCTTAGGGTTTTAGGGTTTTAGGGCTTAGAGTTTTAGGGTTGCAGGGCTTAGGGTTTTAGGGTTGCGGGGCTTAGGGTTTTAGGGTTTTAGGGCTTAGGGCTTTAGGGTTTTAGGGCTTAGGGTTTTAGGGTTTTAGGGTTTAGGGTTTCAGGGTTTAGGGTTTAGGGTTTTAAGGGTTTAGGGCTCCGGGTTTCGGGTTTAGTGCTTTAGGGTTTTAGGGTTTAGGGTTTTGGGGTTTTAGGGTTTAGGGTTTTAGGGCTTAGGGTTTAGGGAAACGCAGCGATGGTGCTGCCCATGCTGACTTGTACTGCGACGACTGCAAGTCGGAAGAGTAACAACAGGCGAGTTATAATGTCTAGGGGGTAAGTGGAAGTAGTATCGCCACTGTTGCTACTGATTTCAAACATCTTGGCAAACAACCTGGCAAAGAGTAAGAACACAAAAATCAAACATCGTACACCATCATCACTATGATCATAATCGTCCGAGTAGTCACAAATACATCGTGGTTACTTGACGACAAGAACAAAGAAGACAGTGACGCCCAGAAAGTTGCAACATGGGTTTAGGAGAATTGGTGCTAGGATCCCTTATGCTTTACTTTAAGGGCATGAGGATGTTGATGTTCCAACTTTCCGGCTCGTACCTTAATCGGTTTAGGGTTTAGGGTTTAGGGTTCAGGGTTCAGGGTTTAGGGTTTAGGGTTTAGGATTGAGGGTTTAGGGTTTAGGGTTTAGGCTTCATGCTTCTAGCCATGCTGATGAAAGTTTTCAGTGAGTACCAGAGCCGGTCATCCTGGCCACCAACCAGACCTCTGGCATCAGCCATGGAAATATTGTGGGGCTCAAGAATGCTCAAGTCTCAGGGTTCAGGGTGTAGGGGCCTTAATAATCAGAATAGGGTTTTGGGGTATATTCTACAATAAATATAACAAATAACCACCAAGAAGCCCCCTATATATTAGTAGGGTCTATCACGGGCGCCCGCCTTGAGGGACCGCACGCCGCAAGCC